TAACAACAAACATGCATAACGTTCGAAATGGGCGAAGGCATGTGTGCGAAACCAGTTTGTGTACATTCTGTTTCTCCCGCGAGCTTGTGCGCACTAACCGCGCGCGCCTGCGATTATAATATCGTTATGTGTCCCGAAATACACGAAACGTTGGCGTTCCGATCGGACGAACTCGACGCCGGGTTGACCACGGGCACAGGGTGGTCCGGGGACGTGTAAACGTTGTGTTACAGGCTGTACTCGCAGGGGACGCACACACGCACCGTCAGCACGTGCAACGCAACCGATTGCGCGAGTCGACGGGTGAAACGACGGCGGCCGGGCGGCGAAAACGTTCGCCTTGGACTAAAACCCGAGAGAAGTGATCGCGCGGACCGACCGTCCGCCTTACAACGGGTACATCGACGGACGCGGCAGAGTTTTTGTTGTTATCGTTTTAATTGTATTCGGATGAAAATCTACACGCACCGCGTGTCGGGTTTCCATGCATTATAATAATATTTTTTTTATGCGCGCCGCCAGATAACAATACAGCATGTTAATATAACGTACGTTTTGCGTTGTTATACGCGTATCACTACTGTACGGTACATGACGACGGCGGCCTTAAGAGATTATTTCGTATGCGCCGTCTCTGTTGCACCTACACACGCGCGCGCGCACGCACACAAGGCCGGGGCAAAGGGAACAATAAGACGGTAATAGCAACGTAACCGCACAGCATAAAAAAAAATATCATCTCTGGCGCATAAGTATTTTTCGACACCCCTGACATTGCCGGGTTTCGCAACGTGTACGCGCGCGATCGGTAACCGCGATACCGTAACCGTATAACACCGGTTCGGCATCGTATCTCGTCTGCAACATCAACTATATTTCCATAACGCGTCCGCCACCGAAACATCTTATTGGTAACTAATAATAACGTGTCCCGAGCACTCGCTGCACCGCGGTAACGCATAATAAGCGGCTATTACACGCCGTTCGAAACGCATTAAGCACTGCGACCGACCGCACAAGAGTCTTCTGGGCTGCGGTGGACGGTCGAACGAACGCGGGAGCGTTATGATAACGCTATTACGTGTGACCTGAAGGATATTTTCACACCAGAAAGTCGTAAAAACAAAAGTAAAAACGAAAAAAAAAAGTCGTTAAAAAAAAAAAAAAAAAATCTCGAAACGGAAAACGTGAAAGTGTAGAACGTACTGCGGGCGGGTTAAAACGTGCGGGCGAGAAAAATATCGAAGGATTTATGTCGACATTAATATAAAGAAATGGAAACAATCGCGCGGAATGTCGTGCCGGACGAGACCTCGCTCCACATATACAAACCGAAATATATATATATGTGTGTACGCATTTATACTGTTTTAAACGTATATAATTTATAAGTATATACACACACAAGAACAGCGTTGCAAAAAAATTCCAAAAGTCCGCTCGGTCGCGAATTTTCGTGCGGTCCCGTTAAGACCGGTTGGTGGGAGGGGTCCGAAATTAATTATCTCGCCGAAAAAAAAATCAATAATGCGCGGTAGATCACACGTTATTTTGTCGTATGAAATCATGGCGACAATGGTAAAACACAACGGCCGCGTCTCGAGATCCGTACACCATTTTAATTTTTTTTCGCTCTTCACTCGGACGGGGACATGTTATTGTTGTACACGTGCGAATGATCTACGACGTATATACTACAGGCGGTCGGCGGGACGGGGCGGAACACTCTCGTTAGAACGTTCTAGAGAGCATGGCGCGGCGGTTAATTGTGCGGATCGGCGTAACATCGGTGAAAGTACTTTCACCCGCCGCCGCCCTGCCAAGGTCGGACAAGCTGCTGCAGCTTCTGCGGCCGCCGTCCGAGGAATTCCACCGGATACCTAACACCCCCAACCCCCACCCCTCGTTATCGCCGTCGGACAAACAACCCTAACGACACTTGTCCCCGGTCGTACGCCGTGAATCACACGAAACGATACAGTGTCCGACATGTGCGCCCGCGACCGCGGTAATCATCGAAACCCGACGTGATGTTCTAAAAGAATTCCGGTAAGGAACACGTCGTTCGTTTGTTCGTCTGAACCGCACGTCGAATGTATTCCGCTCAAGCGAAGGGCTGTTCGACTGTTCGGGTGAATATAATTGATACCGTCGACAAGCGTATCGTTATCGTTGAAATTCCAACAACATCGCCTTCCCGGGAACGAGATAATCGAAAAACCGTAACGGGAACGTGGTACAAAACATGTCGGATTACCGAGGATGTCGAACCGAAGCAATGCACCGGGTTGTCGGTACCGTGCGTACGTGTACAATACGAGTTTTTCCGCCACCGGTGAGCGGTACGGACCGTACTCGATTTATGTGCGCCGAAAGCTCTCCGTGTACGTCGCGATCGTCGCGCAGACAATAACATATTTATTGTTTTGCCGAGAACAATGGTATACAATGCATATGTTGACGAACATCGTCTTAGGCGGCAACGTGCTACGCGGTATAGTTATTGTTTATTCAAAACGGTTTTGTGAAACGAATAAATATTAAACGCAGCAAACATAGAGCGCAAAATAAACGGACAGCGTTACGCGAACGGGCGGGTATTACCGTACACGCCGTTTACACCGGGGGTGATCTATTGCAATCGGTTGACTGCTACCGAATATCGCGTACAATTTCCCCCAACAGGAACGTTCCAACAATATTATACCCGTCCGACGAGATAACAATAATATTATATTATTATTTTTTCGATGTCGACGAGCCACGCGAACGCCTCGTTATAACATCAAGAGCGGACCGGTGGCACGCAGAGGGCTGCAGAGTGGGATAACACGATTCGTTTTCATACCAAACCGATCAGGGGATATTTGAAATTCGCGTTGAACGGGAACGACTGGCCGCCAGTCCGATACAACGTTGTTACCCCGTTACAATAAAACAAAGTGAAAAATCAATCGAAACACCGCTGCACCGTATTCGATATTTTTATCGTAACGCCATCCGTTCGTGTACCGCACATCGATCGACATCTGCACGACATTGCAACACGTTACACGTGTATGAATCGTTTTTTCGGGTTTCCACTGCGCCGCAAAGACCGTTGTACAGAACATCACGAAAACAGTGCACAACTCGACGTATAGGTTTATCACGACCAAGCGTCGTATTGTGACGAATAGGTTTTTTGATAATGAAAATACCTTCGAGGAAGATTTCGATTTAAATATCAATGCGTATGAATATTAACACGATACGTGCACCGTTATGGTGATGTATTACGCGCGTTGCGCAAGAGGAAATATACGGCGAGAAACGGAAAGTGAACGCGAAAAGCGTGCTGGGGCATAGAGATTCCGAATGTCACGGGAGGGCGATGATTCGTCGGCGATTACCGTTGAACTCGAAATTTGCCACGAGCGAACGGAAAACGCGCGTTAAGCTCGAATAATAAACACGCTTTATGTACCCGTATAATTAATAGAGATGCCGTAAAACATATATTTAATAATCATTCGCACGCGTAACAATAACATTACACCGTAATAATAATGATGACAAATTTTCGTACGTCCAGGCTCATGAACACGCCAATCAAATACAACATATTAACGCGGTACAGCGGCCGTGTTTTGCGGCGTCGGGTACGCCTGCTTTCGAGAGGCTATCATGTTTATTCATAACGCGCGTGGTTTTTTTTTTTTTTTTTTTTAAATGACATTTGGCACCGCCCAAGGACAAGTATGTTAAACGACATTACGAAAAATACGCCCGCAGCGTGTACACGGCTCGTACGGTGCATAATATTATTGTTATGGACGTTTTAAATGTCCGAGACTCTGTTCGTTGGATGGATGCTTGTGGCGCGGGTGAGCGAGTGCACGTGAGCGTATGTACACGGAAAACGTTTTGCGGCACACGTGGGATGTGCGGAAAGTTTGCATTCCACCGGACCACACCCCCATCGATACCATACGTGTACCGCTACAGCTGGGGAGAGAAAAATGGCAAAAACTAATACGATACCGCCGTACGTATGCATTTTCAAGTACCCTTGACTGTACCCGGTTATTATTCGTCCGTCGGTCGGGTGGCGATTTATGCGGGACGATAAATATGCGACGTTCGTATTGCTGTTCGAACCGCACGTTAGATTATGGAGTAACCGCGATCTAACGCGTGCGAATCGCCTTAAACCGTTTAGCGTCTCGTGTAAAATCGGTTTAATATAATGTAAAATATTGTCTTATGTAAATTTACCGTCAAGGATAACGTATGTGTTGTACGTGTGTTGCGTATTTGAGATCAACGCCCAAAGGCGCATTCTGTTCCCGTGATAATCCACACTGCCCGGCACGGAACCCGTACAAAACCAAATCTAGCGTGCGGTACGCGCGGTGTTATGCATAGCCACCAGCGTGTGTTCGATGTGTTCCGCGGCGTACCTTAATTACACGTATTATTTTATTCGCGGTGTCCCGTCGCGCGCGTATAATATGAAGAAGTGCGGCGACGGGACGTAATATTAACCTAACAGTCACTACCGCTGGGCGACATAAACGATTTCGCGTCAGGAAATTCGAATAAAACGGTCGTTTCCGAGGACCGGAGTAATCGACAAGGTCGCCGCGCGACGTCCTCCTACGCGCGCGCGGAACAAATCGTCGTCCGTCGATCGCGTTTCACGTGAACGACGTGTACGCGCGCGTATGTGTGCGTGTGAATAGTGTTCCACGCACATACACACCGCGTCGGAGATGCGTGTGCAAGGGGAAAAGTGAAAGGCGGCTGTTGCGCGGTGGAAATAATGGTAAAAACGATGATTCGATTTTAAAAAGCGAAACATTAGCCGGGCTGCAAGGTCGGCGGGGCACGACACACACCGTTGGGTCCGGCCGGCCACGTGTTTTCAAAGCGTTCAACCGGCCAAAAATCCTGACGCCTGTTAAAATCTGTACTATGCTCGTCGCGCGAACGGCACAAATCTGCAAACGATCACGTACCTTGTACAGCTTGTCCTTGTTGTACCACACGTCCTCTTCTTCTTCCACCTGGACGGGAAATCCTACTCCCGAGTCCAAGTTCAGGTCGTCCCGGGACCTGGACAGTATTCGGCGTCTGGATATCATGTCGTTGGGCACTGATAACGACGGACAGCTGTAACACGAATCAGCTGATTAGAAAAACGCGCATAACACAATACGCGGGACGTGCACGTACGTGTGCGGGACACGCGGCTGGGCTTGTACAGCGCAATTCTTAAAATACACTTTCTCGACCGACCGTCGTTCGATCACTGTTGTTGTGCGCATGGCAGTGCGGGGACAATAGCGTCGAACCTACGGACTTTACGGTTTTCCGAGTGCAGTTACGTATAGTTTTATAATTAATGCGATGGCAGGACGCAGGCGCACGCTGCCGATCGGATCTCCGCAAGAAATGTCTTTCAACGCGTTCTCGACTGTACCACGGACATAGTTGTCGGAACGCGCGTGTCGCGGGCTCGGCAATGACTCGGTGCTGCCGAGGCTCGTGAATTATAAACGTAGATTATTTTAATTATTATTTATATATAGATTATTTTTATGAACCGCAGACGTGCTCGCGGTGTAACGCCGTCGGTTGTAGAACTAGTACTGTTATGCGATTGATAATGTATTGTGCCGTCCGTTGTACAATCGGTGGTCCGAGGCCCGTAACGGCGCGTACACGCGAACCTGTGTACAGCGGTGTCTCCCCGAACCGTACCGGGTTTCGGCGGTGGCGGTACTCGATTGAAAACATAGAACGTTTCAAGTGACGAGCGCTATTGTGTTTGATTGAAATAAAATAAAATTTAAATAAAAACGACCGAACGTTTCGAAAACGAATTCGTAAAAACCGCGAAAACGCTACGACGTACGGTCATCGGACAGCGGGTGAACTGTTCGCGGGGATGCAGTGGCGCTGTAGGCGTCGTGTAGGTGCTGCGTACGAGCAACGAGCAGCGTACATGGTGGTGATACCGTTTTTTTTTCGCACCACCGACGATCGGGGTGCACTGGAGCGCGTGTGGACGAAGAGAAAAGGTGCGCGACGGTAAAACTGCGTTCGGGGGAGGAAAAAATAAATAAATACACGGATAACGACGGGCGAAAGTGAAAAAACGCTGAGCGAGCGTGTGCCCGTTTACACGTCACACGGTACGTTTTTATAATTGTTACGTGCCGTCGTTCGGTGCGCGCGCAAGAAATCGTTCGTTCGTCCGTGCACGGGCGTGTATCGTCGTCGTTTTAACGGGTTCGATTATTTTTGCCAAAGTTTCCCCAATTAGAAAAAAACATGGCCATCGCGCGCACGTAACATGTGCACGTCTTAGAACTGAAACGCCGTGTTGCTGTTGTTTCGCTAGCTCCGAGGTCGATCCGGGTAACCGAGATGACGACCGCGCACAACCGTTGTTACCACGTCGGCCAGGTGGACGTGCGGCGCTCAATTGCACCCGGCCCGCACATTAAAATAAAATGTCCCGTAATCAATTGTATCGGCGTGACGTAATGCGCGCGTGTACTAATAATAATATAAACTACGGCCGAGATTTCGTTCGCATTACGTTTTTTATTTATTTATTTTTTTTTTTTTGTTAATTTTTTTCCCAGTCGGGTTCATGATTAATTCGGTTTCGTGTGAAAACGCGGCCTCACTATCCCGCCGCCGATTGCCGAACAATTTGTGTTCCCACATAGTGACGTTCTTATTTCTCCGTGGTCCTTTATTCTTTACGATATTCTACGCGCGTGCATAACAATCGAAGCAAATCCGTCGGCAGCGGTTAAAATCAGTAGGCTCTAAAAATCGATTTGCGCGCGAGAACGGCGACGGCGGCGTGCGCACGTTGCACAACATACGACGCGTAAATAATATTATTTTTATTGCTGTTGAAAGGATTGGCGATATGTCAAACCCGTCGTACATAACGTTATTAAAAGCAGTGAGAAATGATATGGTAACGGATCGAGGAGACCTATAAAAAATAGTCAGCTCTCGCTGTATTGTACCGGTAATCAAAATCGTTAGCTTATCGATCAAAACACACGCCCAAAGGTATGTATATAAAATTAACCCGATTCCTTAGTAGTTAAAGTGCGCACGGTGTTTAAGGCCAGTTTTCGCGAATCAAGTTGAATTAGTCGATAGTTCCGATGAGAGAAGAACAATCCAGACAGCGATCGGAAGACGTACGCGGAAAACCATTGACTGTCGACCGAATACGACTTTCGTACGATAAGGCGGACTTTGGGTATCGTTCGCGTACGGTTTTACCGGTTCGTCAACTGCACTCGGAATCGGTTCGAAACGAGGAAATCGTTCGGACGGGGCGAAGGGCAAACGGGAGGAAGGACTATATAAATTCCTTCGAAACCCGTCCGACGCATCGGGAAAACCGACCGTTCCCATCTCTGTGATGCCCGCAGCGTTCGGTCCGTTTGTCGGACGCGAATCTAATACGCGCGCGCGCACACACAATGTTAACAATAATCGCGTAAACTACGAGAGCGGAATTTCTCCCGTAAGACTCTTCAACACACGCGCACGCGCACAATCATAACAACAATAACCTATTACACACACACACACTGTTCCAACAGCATAATATATTATACGCGCATATGTAATGTACAACCGATGCGTACACGTGCAGCGTGTGACAGTCGGACGAAATTGTCCCGCGGTTCACGTCGCGCTGCGGAGAACAATGGCCGCCGTCGTCTATTTTTATTTTTTTTTCGTTTTCTATTTCTTTCGTTCCGTTTCGCGTTTGACGTATTCCGTCGACATTTGATGATATAGTACGGGTAGTACACGCGCCTCTTTCCCGTCCGCGCCCGTACGCCGCGCGCGTTTCGCAACGGAAAGTTGCCGCGTGCCTCTGCTCGTACTTTCGCCGCGGCGGACCCGCCGCCAACTCGCGTACGCGTTCGTCCGCGCGTTATAGACGCGCCTAGACGGCGGACGAGTAACGACTGATGGCCGTACGACCGGCGTATTCCGCGCGCGAAACAGCCGAGGACTAAACCTAACGTACGGTCCCGCGGGTCCCGGGTCGGGTTAGCGAACGAGCGGAATTCGTCTTGCGCCCGCGACACGAACTGCGCAACGCGGAGACCGAGTGCGCGACAAACCATCGCGGTCTCGGGTCCACGGACTTATGGGGTTCTCGGATCGACGGTCGTTAAACGTACACGCGAGGAAACCCTTTTGTTCCGCTCGTACGCGCAGTCAAAGGATACGCGACGTTTTACCGTCGACGGTGACCGCACACATCCGTGTCCGCCGCGACCGATGGATTTCGAACGTATTACGCTGATCGTACAGATTATGTACGCACGCTAGTGTTCGGGAATTCGTTTTCGAAACATTAAACGCGCGAACCGCGAATCGGATAACGGTTCGGGAGATTTTTTTTTTTTTTTTTTGGGTTTTTTTACATTTTTTTTTTTTTTTTTTATTTACTATTGGACATCGATGGAGACCGGCGAGGGTTACCATTTATAGAACGCGCCGGTGTAGGACGACGGAACGAGGCGTGGGTCGAATTACAGCGCACATTGTACGTGCGCGCGCCCGGCAAGTGGGCCGCCTGGCCCCCGTGGAATCGTACGACGACGACGGTGGCGGACGCGCATAATACCATACGACCGAATGCATAATGCATTTTTACGCGGTTGTTTTTTTATTTTCCAAACACCGAAAGCGACCGCCGCCGATGATATCCTGGCATTGTTCGATTGTTTTCGGACACGTCGTGATGTCCGGCGTGCCGTCGCGTTCGAATCTTCTTCGTCGGATACCGCCTGCATATAAAAGTACGCGGTCGAAGACCGTGCGCGCGACACCACAGAGTTACTACGGCGTAAACGTAAGGCGGCCAAAATCACGAAATCCCACCTAACCTAACCGCGAGTGTGCGCGAGAAAAGCCAATAAAAACGCAACGGCGGCTGCGGCGGAATCGAGACACGTAGGAGTCCGTTTTATTCGTACGCGCACTTGCCCCCGCACGATGTCCGGCTCGATTTTAAATTTGCGACTCTGCGACGTTCTTACACGTACGTGTACATTATAATATGCCGTTAGGCATGATTTTAACGGAATCGGACGGAAGACCCGTCGTCGTCGCCCACCTCTGTCCGACCGTTGTATAATAATAACAATAATATGAGTCCTTTTGATCCTACGCTCTTTTCCGCGGTCGGGTTAACGGACTTTCGGCAGAAACGTAAACACATACGTATCATAATACTTTACAACAGTTACGACGACCATGGCGCCACACGCGCGACCATTCATACCACGTGAAGTTTTTATTAACGCCGATTGTCCGGGGGGGGGGAGGAGGGCGAGTGACGATACATCCCGCCGGACGGTGGCGTGTCGAAGAGATTTTTAATAAACCCTATACGGACACGTCACGGTCGAATTCAGTACGATTATTATTTTACGTGTAATATTAATTGTTTTAAAAATATATACGCGCATATGTCCCGACAGTACAAATATACGGTTACTGCAGGTAACACGAGTGCTAGTGACTACCGAGTTCCTTCGTTTTCATCAGCGACTTGTTCGTGTGCCTTAACGGTATTGAATAGATCGAAAAATTAGTTCCTACCTATTCGCCGTGTCATATTGAATTGAATTCAAATCGAACATCGAAGTGGCCGAATCCAGGTCGTACGTGTACACGGTTAACGAATAAAAATGTGGTAATCGAGGGGCCAAGAATTCAATCGTGTGTAACACCAAACACGTTGATGTGAATTTGTTTTTCGCTCGTCCGCCGCGTCCGAAGAACTTTGAATCGCGATTTCCCGGACGGGCGAAGGACGAAGGAATGGCCCGCGGACAAACGGTTTCGGATCGTTCCGACGCGTTACGGAGGCGCACACAAATGTACGGTACGGTTGATTACGGTCTTCGAGTGCTGCGCGTGTAGTACACGACATAATGTCATCGCGGCTGTTGCGCGCGCGTCGTCGGGTCGGAAAGTTACTCGAGACAAAACACCGTCACCCGGTTCGGCGTCCGACGGGACAACGGTCCGAAACGTTCTCCGCACGACCGCACGACGGGATCCACCCGAAGACGCGTTCGCCATCCCAGTAGGTCGGACGTTTA